TTTTTTCTGAAAAACTTAAAAAACGTCACATCTCAAAAACTACAAAGATTTGAGCAGTCAAAATTTGGTAGCAAGATTCGCAACCCCTGAAAGTACTTTGACTGTGCCTAACTACAGTGTTAGAGTTTCAAATTTTAAGGACAAAAAACTTAAATCACATCTGGAAAAATACAAAGAGTTGAGCAGTCTTATTTGGAGGCAAGATTTTCAACCCCTGAGAGTACTCTGATAGCCCCCAACTACAGGGTTGGGAATTTCAAATTTTTAAGATAAAAAATAAATTTGAGTTTGCCTAAAATTAAATGAAAAATTCACAAAAAAACGTCATAGAAAATGTCCAAATTTTGACCGTTTTTAAGAAACTTTTTTTTTCCGGAAAGCTAATTGAGGTTAAGGTCAAATCTGAGGTGAAAGAACTGATTTTGCGAATCTTTGCTGCACAAGGTTTTTCATCTTAGTTTTTTGATAAATCTTATCTACAATTTTTGAAATTTTAATTGTTTATTTGAAACTTTCTAATTTTTCTCGATAACTACCCTGCCAAATCCGCAATAATTGGTACTAGCGTGTAACGAACCTCCGGTCCTTATTTTTAAGGACACTATAGAAAACTTGCATATACTGGAAGTAAGATTTGCATCTTTTGAGTGTACCCTGACCAGCACCTGATTACAGGTTAGGTAATTTCAGTTTTAGTAAAATGTTTTTTTTAATTCTTAGTGTTTTTTAATTCAAATTTTGAAAAACCGTTTTTACTTAACAGTTTTTACTTCTTAGTTTTTTTGAAACATTTCAAAATGACATGAAAAAACGTCACGTCTCCGTAACTAAAAACAATTGAGCAGTCGCATTTAGACGCAAAATTTAACTACTGAGAGTACTCTCACATTACCCCAGAACAGCGTTGGGAATTTCAAATTTGTGCTAAATTTAAGTTTTCTAATTTTTTCTGAAAAACTTTAAAAACGTCACATCTCAAAAACTACAAAGATTTGAGCAGTCAAAATTTGGTAGCAAGATTCGCAACCCCTGAAAGTACTTTGACTGTGCCTAACTACAGTGTTAGAGTTTCAAATTTTATGGACAAAAAACTTAAATCACATCTGGAAAAATACAAAGAGTTGAGCAGTCTTATTTGGAGGCAAGATTTTCAACCCCTGAGAGTACTCTGATAGCCCCCAACTACAGGGTTGGGAATTTCAAATTTTTAAGATAAAAAATAAATTTGAGTTTGCCTAAAATTAAATGAAAAATTCACAAAAAAACGTCATAGAAAATGTCCAAATTTTGACCGTTTTTAAGAAACTTTTTTTTTCCGGAAAGCTAATTGAGGTTAAGGTCAAATCTGAGGTGAAAGAACTGATTTTGCGAATCTTTGCTGCACAAGGTTTTTCATCTTAGTTTTTTGATAAATCTTATCTACAATTTTTGAAATTTTAATTGTTTATTTGAAACTTTCTAATTTTTCTCGATAACTACCCTGCCAAATCCGCAATAATTGGTACTAGCGTGTAACGAACCTCCGGTCCTTATTTTTAAGGACACTATAGAAAACTTGCATATACTGGAAGTAAGATTTGCATCTTTTGAGTGTACCCTGACCAGCACCTGATTACAGGTTAGGTAATTTCAGTTTTAGTAAAATGTTTTTTTTAATTCTTAGTGTTTTTTAATTCAAATTTTGAAAAACCGTTTTTACTTAACAGTTTTTACTTCTTAGTTTTTTTGAAACATTTCAAAATGACATGAAAAAACGTCACGTCTCCGTAACTAAAAACAATTGAGCAGTCGCATTTAGACGCAAAATTTAACTACTGAGAGTACTCTCACATTACCCCAGAACAGCGTTGGGAATTTCAAATTTGTGCTAAATTTAAGTTTTCTAATTTTTTCTGAAAAACTTTAAAAACGTCACATCTCAAAAACTACAAAGATTTGAGCAGTCAAAATTTGGTAGCAAGATTCGCAACCCCTGAAAGTACTTTGACTGTGCCTAACTACAGTGTTAGAGTTTCAAATTTTATGGACAAAAAACTTAAATCACATCTGGAAAAATACAAAGAGTTGAGCAGTCTTATTTGGAGGCAAGATTTTCAACCCCTGAGAGTACTCTGATAGCCCCCAACTACAGGGTTGGGAATTTCAAATTTTTAAGATAAAAAATAAATTTGAGTTTGCCGAAAATTAAATGAAAAATTCACAAAAAAACGTCATAGAAAATGTCCAAATTTTGACCGTTTTTAAGAAACTTTTTTTTTCCGGAAAGCTAATTGAGGTTAAGGTCAAATCTGAGGTGAAAGAACTGATTTTGTGAATCTTTGCTGCACAAGGTTTTTCATCTTATTTTTTTGATAAATCTTATCTACAATTTTTGAAATTTTAATTGTTTATTTGAAACTTTCTAATTTTTCTCGATAACTACCCTGCCAAATCCGCAATAATTGGTACTAGCGTGTAACGGACCTCCGGTCCTTATTTTTAAGGACACTATAGAAAACTTGCATATACTGGAAGTAAGATTTGCATCTTTTGAGTGTACCCTGACCAGCACCTGATTACAGGTTAGGTAATTTCAGTTTTAGTAAAATGTTTTTTTTTTAATTCTAGTGTTTTTTAATTCAAATTTTGAAAAACCGTTTTTACTTAACAGTTTTTACTTCTTAGTTTTTTTGAAACATTTCAAAATGACATGAAAAAACGTCACGTCTCCGTAACTAAAAACAATTGAGCAGTCGCATTTAGACGCAAGATTTAACTACTGAGAGTACTCTCACATTACCCCAGAACAGCGTTGGGAATTTCAAATTTGTGCTAAATTTAAGTTTTCTAATTTTTTCTGATTAAGTTTTCTAATTTTTTCTGAAAAACCTAAAAAACGTCACTTCTCAAAAACTACAAAGATTTGAGCAGTCAAAATTTGGTAGCAAGATTCGCAACCCCTGAAAGTACTTTGACTGTGCCTAACTACAGTGTTAGAGTTTCAAATTTTAAGGACAAAAAACTTAAATCACATCTGGAAAAATACAAAGAGTTGAGCAGTCTTGTTTGGAGGCAAGATTTTCAACCCCTGCAAATCCTAGGAGTACTCTGACAGAGAGTCTATTTAGAGGTAGGAACTTCAAGTTTTGAGAATTTTTCTATATCTACTTTCTTTGATCAACTTAAAAAAAGACTTAATCGAGCAGTCACATCTCAGAAACTAAGACCGTTTGAGCAGTCGCAATTTGAAGCAAGATTTGCAACTTGGAGCTCCTGAGAGTATCCTCACAGTACCCAACTACAAAGATGGCAGATAAAAATCTTTTGAATTTTTAAAATCTAAAGTTTTCTAAAAAAAAATTGAAAAAATCATAAAAAGCGCCATACCTCGAAAACCAAAAGGATTAGAGGAGTCATACTTGGACGCCAGATTTGCAACCCTTGAATGTACCCTAAAAGTACCGCACTATTGGTTTGAAGAATTCATTTTGGGTTAGTTTTCCTCATATCTAAGTTTTTCTTTATCTAGCATTACAAGGTTTTGAGCGGTCATATTTTGAGTTAAGATTCGCAACCCTTGAGAGAGAGTACGCTGTCATCACCCAATTGCAGGGTTGGTATTTTCAAATTTCAGGGTTGGTAATTTCAACTAGTAGGCTGCTTTTTAAACTCGGTTAAATAAACACTGAATTCAACTGAAAAATCGAAAAAAAAAATTGCAATATACGACATAGCTTAAACTTGAAAAATTCTTTCTATAAACGTAAATAATACGTCGAAAACGCTTAAACGTGGCGAGATAGTGAAAACCGCATGTAATAGATAATCGGAAAATCAAAAAATAAGGTTTTTTGAATAAGCAGCTACGCCTTCTTTTTATGTTGAAAATTAAGTTCGGACTTTGAAAAACTAATTTAAAGCGTTTTTCCGTTTTTCTGGGAGTTTTGTTGATAGTTTACCGGCCAAGTGCAAGATAAAGGGTTCAATTGAAAGACTGGGTGCTAGGAAATTTCTCTGCGTAGCGTATATGCCCAATCGAAAGAACAAGCTCTAAGTGTATACGCTTAGAGCTTATTCATAAGATAATTTTTCCATTTTTGGCAAAGAATCCGCTATGGACTTAAGAAATTTTTGATCTTCTGCCCCATGTTTGAATATTAATCAATTGTCCAAAAACGACTGTGCCAATTAAAAAAATCAAGTAATGAATCAAAAGGAGCTGTAAACTCCGGTGCAAAAGCGCGTTCTTCGTTATTTTGGTGGGAATCAGCTATAGACTTGGTAATTGTCCAGTTTTTGACGTTGTGAAAATAACGCAATTTTTTGCATCAGTACATTTTTAAGAGTCAATGAACGTAATGAAGAGTCTTATATAGGTCGTGTTGATTTTTTGTTTTTTTTATCAGGAAAAGTCTGAAAATGTTCAACTACAAATGTGCATTCATACATTTTAATTAAGGTAGGCATATTGCGCTTTCCCTTAAAGAAAGCAGAAAGATCACGAAAAATGTTATTGCTTCTAATGTCGAAAGTAGATTGTATTTTTTCCGATTTTTCAGCGGAATAAAAATTTTATCTATTGATCCAGTTTTTGTTGAGTTAGCTTAGCTTTATCAATAAAGTATCTATGATTATTTTTTCTTGAAATTCAAAGAGCTTCAAAGGTTTTGGATCTAATTTTCCAAGCTGCTGAAAATATTCACTGGATTTTTCAAAAAAAGATATTTCGATTACAATCGAAATTATCTTTAAAATTGAATAAACTTTTCGTCTAAATATAATTTTTTGTTTTCTGTTTTGCGTTCATTGATTTCTTTCCAAGTGTATGTTGGCTATGTTATAAATATTATCAAACCGGTAACCTCAGCTTTTGGTGGACTTCTGGTGATAACTACGAAGTTTTCAAAAATTCATGATAAATTTTATTTTGATTTAATGATAGACATTTTACTTTTGAATTTTTTGTTCAATCATTGCCGTCGGAGCTTTCTTTGATTTTTTTCGAGGAACTGGCTATTTAATTTTTGTTTTAATTCAAAAATGGCTTCTATCGCGGTAAGATCCAAATATAAAAAATAGCACCTGTTAATAAGGTTGCCAAGCAGGTCAGAGTTGATATTATTGCCAGAATTGCTAATCTTTCACAACTGAAAGGATGCACCAAAATAATCGCTTCGGCTGACGCGCTATAGTGAGTTGACTTTTTGAGTTTCGATAATTTACCTTCTTGCACTTTCTTATGTTGATCGCAAAATTGCCATGTGTTCTCCTGCTGCGAAACATGGCAGCCTCCCGAACAAAAATCCATAATTGAATCGGAGCTTTTGGATAATCGATTTTTGTTCGTTTGATGCTGACAGGTGGCTTCGAAGTTGTTATGTGGCATTGTTTCTGGGAAGAGCTGAGCGTGCGTGGCGGAATTTGGGTTTTGTTGATTACTTGTGGGGTCGCAAAATTCACAGTTTTCATATCTTGGAAATCTCGTTTCCGATGAGGTCGCCTGAAAAAATAATGAGCAGTTTCTACGCATCTTGGCGAATTGTGTTTTCACCTGCGCAAGACAGTAGACAGTATAGAATATTCGGTTGCTAGGAATTTTGCGTTAACTAACTTGTTCACATTTTTGTTTTAAAAAAGGTAACGAAGAGTCTTCTTGGCGGATCTCGATATTGGCACTGGGATGAATGGACCTGCTGCCATGCTTGGTGCTACCGCCTTGAAATATCCTATCGCAACATTTTAAGAAAATTTTACGCCTAATTGTTTATATAAGTATGATTTTGATTATGATTTACTCGAAATTATTACCGGCATGTTTCAGACGTGTACCACATCAGTCACGCTTGCGATTTGCAAGCGTTTTCAAATCGGAATATAGATTTTGTTCGGGCTAACAACTAGTTTAAAAAATCAGTTAAATTTTTTATGATACCGCTGACATGCTCAATTTCATGAAACTTCAAATTTAAATACTGGGTACCAGTTACTTCTGAAAAATGCTTAATCTAGAACTCAAACCAATTTTTGTATAATTATAGAACTTCGATATTAATTTTCTGCTGACGATTTTTAGGCTTCAGGATTGTCGGCTTAAACTGTGTCGGTTTAGCTTCCAAATTCTGTTCACTTTGCATACACTACTTATGTAGCTATCGTGGAGCCTCGTGGGCGTTACATGCAATTTTTTCCAATATGATTTTCTTGGCGAAATTTTTCGGCGAATTTCAGCTTACTGGCTGTCGGCTTCAATTTTGTCGGCTCATTTATCGGTTTTTTCTTGAAATGATGTAAAGTACTTTTGACAGCGATAAGAATCTGACATCAGTATTTGAATGCCAAAAGTCCCAGTAGAACCTTTGAAAAATATGAAAAAATTTGAACGTTTTTTATTTATTTTTTATACACTTCCTCGTTTGGTCATATGTTTGCTGCATAGCATTGTTGGTTTAAAAGCATCTGTTTTATCTGGTTTTTTGTTGCTAGTTTTTGCTAATTATCAAGTGACAATGGCGCAGATTCGAGGACGTTTGAGACTTTCATTTCTTGTTTGACGGTTCCATTCCGGCACAGCATATTATTCCAGCAAATAATTTGGTTTTTCAAGTTTTTCCTACCTTTTCTTTTTGTATTTCACTTTTTCAGAACTCGTTTTTGCGAAGTAGAGCTTCACCTCTGTTTTTAAAAAAGTTTTATTGGATGTATTGAACAATCTCACCCTTTTTGAATTTATCTGAAGTTGAACTTCGAATGAAATATTGACTATAATTTAAGGAAACGTTTCTCAATTTAGAAAACCAATGGCTGAGTTAAATTAGAATCACTTGAACTTTAAAACTTGCACAGGGGAGGAAGCTGGGAGATATCCGAGGGGAAGATTGAGTAGATCCTTTTAACAGATTGAGTAGATCCTGTTCATTTTGTGTGAAATGCTTGACATTTTTTTGTGGTTTTTTTTCGTTCAAAACCGCAACTGATGCGAAGATCGAAAAAAAATTAACCGAAAATAACTAAAATAAAAACAAAGTGTTACCTGAGTACTGGGATGATTTCTCAATGAGGTATCTGGATGGTTTAGACATTCAGAGTATTGAACCAAATCGTTGCCTCTTCTCGCTTTACTGAAGAGGGGCGAAAAGACTTGATTTTGTTCTTGAGGTGAATTCGGTATAGATGAAAATGCGTATTCGTAATTGCTGCCTGGGTTATTGGATAGATTCATAATTCGTCTCTGTTGAATAGATGGTGTGCTAATTGGACTTAAAGAACTGGAAATGTCGGATGTTTTTCGCTGTTCTTTGTTAGGATTGATGACAGATAATAGTTTTGAATGTCGATCTAAATTGGAGGGCTGCAAAGGATACGGCGGTGGTAATGCAGACTTTTCAATGGTTGCCAAAGCAGTAATTGCTGTGTTCACGTCTGTGACTGTGACTTTTTCACGTGTTCTAATTGTACCAATATGATTTGAGCCTTTAGGGTGTTTGTAATTTGTGTTTTTACCCGCATAAATGAACCCTTTGTTTTCGTTTGCCTCTGATCCGGGTCTTCTTGGCAAATCCATTTGCTTTTATGACCCCGAGGCTGTTTTGTGGCTTTGTTAGAGCCAAGGGGCTGCTCTATTTGTTCACTGTTTGTTCAGCCGTTATCCTAGTCGTAAACCAAATTATAAATTGTCTCTGAATGAAGTTCGAATTTGTTCTGAGACTTGATGTCTAGGTTACTTCGAGCTACATCAAATTGAAGATTAAGATGTATCTCAGTTCGATTAGATTCAAGCGCTAATGTAAATACGAATTTTATTTGGCGTGATTAGAAGTTTAATTGGCCACTAAAACTGTTTATGGTGCAATTCGGTCATAATGAATTATAATTAAATATAAATCATATCGATGGTACGTTATCCGGAGAAAGTTTGAGACTGATTAATGATAATCTGGATAGTTTTAGTTATTTTGGTAATAAAACAATGCAGTATGGATTAGTTTGTCTTATGTAGAATCAATTTGGTTTTCTGTAGTGTTTTTTTTGCCGTAACTCGTAAGATTTTTTGTCCTTTTTCAAGCTCATCGGAAAGTTGTTTAAATTTCACTCATCAAAAACCGAAGGTAAGCTGAAAATGGATGATAATCGAGTTCTTTCACGAGGTCATTTGTTATTACACAAATGTCTCAAATTACCCTAACAAGCTATATTGAATCAAGTTTTTGTAATCTATTTTTTAATAAAAGTTTTCTGGCCAATATTTTAGCGAGCTTGTTAAGTTTTCAATCAAAATTTTTGGGGCCAAATTAACAATATCCGACCTTGACTAGCCATGCGAAGGATCTACCCCTAAAATTGAATAGAGATATGTAAGTAAAGGCAGCATGCAAAATGCTGAATTCTGATCGTCTGATAAAGAATACTTTTAATCGAACCAATTGAATAATCTCCTCCCTAAACTAATTTAGGGAGGAGATTGTTCACTTGGTCCAATTTTTCAGACGTTTTCCCTTATTTTCAACACTAACAAAAATCGTATCTAACTTATCAAGTAGAATGAATGTTTCTAAGATATTTGCTGAAGTGTAGTCTGCTGATATGACGTAACTATTGATGCATGTGAAAAGAAAATAACCGTGAAATAGTAATCCCTTCCCTCTGCTAAATAAAAAGCCAAAGAAAACGCTAAGGGTAAATTAGGATTTAGCAAAACTCAGGCAATTGTTCATACTCAGGCAATTGTTGAGTGGGGCTTAAATATTTACTTAGTTTGTTTTGATATCTCCATAAATAATGGCGCGAGTATTGTTGTTTATGGATCTCTTTCTGGAGCCAGATTTCTCGCAGTAAGTTTTTTCTAAAAATAAGTCGTATTCGACAGATCGTTAATGAGGGTGATACCTTTCAAGAATCTGATATGACCGGAGGAAATGGCTTCATTTCATAGGTATAATGGCTCAGTTTCCGTTAAGGCATACCACCAACTGGTAGTTTTTGGAGTAGGTTGAGTTGACAACAGTTAAGTAAGTCAACAAACTAATTGAATATAAATTTGATACCAAGAAAGAAATTGCAATTAGGCGGGAGTTTAAATGTGTTAACCTGATATTAACTATTAATAGGCCGGACTTTAATAACGATCGAGGGTTTGAATTTGCGTTTTGTTAAGTTTAAGTAATTATTCCGCAGCTGGTTGTTTTGGTAAATCTTCCAGTTGTTTATGTTTTTCCTTGCTTTTTCCGCGTGAAATGTGAGTGAAACTTGTCATTTTGGGTGAACAAACAAGAGTCAATGGTACTGAAGGTGTAAATCCGCTAATTCACCGGAATCAAGGTTGCACGGTTTCTGAATCCCCGTCAACGTGAAGATTTATCCTAGTAAATCTTGAGAGTTATAGAGTATTTCTGAACGAATTTATATTAACGGCTGGGGATTTTTTCAGTCTGTGTCATATCGTTTCCGGGTGAGCGACTTAAAAGCTGTCAAATTTTAGGGGCTTGAGGTTCATTCGATAAAAAAGTTTTTCCACTTTTGGAATTTCTTGTCAACCTCAATTTATAAGCTTCTTGTTATCTTAAAAAGTTCATGGCGGTCAGTTGATGAAAATGAAGTCTTAAGTGAGAAGCATGAAGTATGCAGATTTTCTGCAGTTTCGTTAGAATTATCTTTCAAACCTTTTCTGCCATGCAATATTATCGAGTCTTATGGCGAATTGTTCAACTCAATGAAATGGTAACGGTTGGGGGTCGGCATATTGGAACATTCGTTTTTGGAAATTAGTAGAAAAAGCATTTTTGTCTGATTCCTCTAATCGCAGTATGAAAGTGGGACGATCAATTTTGATTATTGGAAAAAAAAATTTACAGGTGTCTTTCAGAAGTTTACTTTTTCGAATTTTGTATTTTGCCTTTACACATGCAAGGCTTTTGTTTCACTAGTCGGGTCGAATAAGTTTTTTTGTTCGCCAAAAAGTTTTATAATTGGGAACTAAAATTTTTACGTTTGCCATTAGCAAGCGTTGTCAAACTGGAATATAGACTTTTTTTGGGTTAACAACTAGTTAAACAGAATCATTTGAATAATTTGATAGCTTGATCTATTAATGAAGTTAATTTTCGTGAAAATGTGGGCCCAGTAGTGTGGAGGTAAAGAGCGGGGTTAAGGTGTGGAGTTAACGTGCGAATGTTAGCGGGGTTAAGTTGTGGAGGTAGCGTGCGAACGTATTCAAGACTTTTATCTAGGTCGCGATTATTTTTTTTTGTTTTTTTTTAACAGGAAAAGCTAAAATTTTTTCTGGCTCAAATTTACTTTTTCGCTGTTTTACTTCTGATTTTTCAACCCTTGCGATAAGCAAGGATACTGCAATCGGGTGCTAGATTTTTTTTCCAGTAAGTAACTTTGTTCACAGGATTCATCTGGACTCCTGGTAGTACCTTGGTTCATAATGATTTAAAATTTCTTAGTGTCTCCAGCTCACTTAGCCTGTAAATAACGATTACGCCTGGGTGGCAATGGTCCTGGGTTCGAATCTGAATAGAAGTTTTTTTTCAAACGGTAAAGTTTGACTGTAGATGCTTTATATGTTTTAGCATTTTAAAAGTCCGGCCGAATCGAAAGTTGTTTTTTACATTTTGTATTTTTACTATCTCGATATGTGAAGTTAAAAATTTCATTTTTTTTTCATTTGTCTTTTTTATCGGCTGAATAACTTTTGGTTTATTTTATATAGACCTAGTGCGTCGTTCGTGGATCGTATGTTTAGAGTGTGCGTATGTTTAGAGTGGAAAAGGGACATAAAATTTGTTTATTAGTTAAGAATTTTTTTTCGGCATGAAAGGTTTCTGCTCAGAGATTTTCGGCTTGTTTACTCTTGGTTCTTATAAAATCAAACGCAATCAACCATCGGGCGGATCTGAAGTAGACGTAACCCAACTGCTTGAGAACTCAAAGTCTTGCGGTTCGAATATGACCGGGACCTTTTCTAAACTAGAGTTTCTGTGCTTTTTCGGGCTATCGTCCGTCTGTTTATTTTTGTCGGCGTAGTTCCCCTAGCCCGACTTTATTGAAAGTTCAGCTTTTTCCAAGTTGCTTTTACTCCCATGCTTGAGACGACACAGCCCTGGGAATCGATTCCAGTCGAGACATGTTTTTTTTGCAAATAGAAAATTTGGGGCTAATTTGATCATTGTCGGTATGCTTAATTTTGTCGGCTTAGTTCCGCAGAAAGTTTTTTTTTGAAAAATTGTTTTTTGTAGCATTCCGAAAGGTCTTAATAAAGTTTCTAATTATGCAGGCATTTTTTTTCGGTTTTTATGGGCTTTTGTTACAAATTTTTTTTGACAACCACGATTTTTGAAGTTTTTTTTCAAATTTTTTCCGTTTGATTTTAATCATTTTCATTCATATCCGAGCTCAGCTTCGCCTCTGTGTAAAAAGCTTGTTATTAAGCTTATTGATTGAACTCTGATTATCGTGACTGATTAACTTTATCGTGGTTTGACTTGTGATTTCTTTTTAAATTCAGTTCATTTACTTTGATAAAAGGAAGGCAAACTCCACTGTCGAAAATCAAGAATATTTCGAAAGTGGAATTTAATTTTCAGATTTCTCGGTGGAATAAAAATTTATCGTATTGTTCCAGTTTTCTCAAATTGGTTTGATTTTATCCAAGAATTGTCAATCATAAATTTCTCTAGAAATTCAAAGAGCTTTATGGACATCTATTTTTTTTCTTTGAGTTTTAAAAGTTCAGATTTTGTCTAAAACGTCTATATATTTTTTTATGTTTACTTGCGTTCATTTACTCTTTTCTAACTGTTTGTTGGCTATGTTTATTTCGGTAAAATTTTGTCTTATATTGTTCAGATGTTGGCTTAAATGTTTGTCTAACTTTGCAGACGTGGGCTTAATGGCTCACGTACCATTACTTCAACTTTCACATATTTGAGTGTGTCATAATTTAGAATGAAGTTTAAAGGGATCTCTTTAACTATTTCCCACCTTTTGCGAAAAGGGGCATTCATTACTAGTAACAAAAATCTCAAATGATCAACCGTTTTTCCGATGAAGCGTAGAATCTTGTCCAATTGTGAAGGAATTGTTCGGACTACGAAGTCGTGAAGTACTTTATATTCGGGTGTGTAAATGGCAGTTTTCTGGAATTGATCAGTCTTTTCAATGCAAATCAAGCGCCCCATATGCGTCTATTAAAGCCTTGTAAGTCTTGATTCGGTGATAATGAAGAACTTTCAAACTTTCTTCAGTTTTGAGAAGTTTTAGGCTGTGAAAAACTAGTTTTTTGAGCTTTAGTTTTTAAGAAAGCATGATTTTATATTATTATTTAATTAATTTTTCAGTTTGATAGCAATTGGTTGATATTTCCTTTACGCTGTACTTCCCTTGTTTTTTGAAGCTTTATCTGTGCTAAGGAAAGGATCAATTTTTTGGTTTCTGATTGTCGATGAGCATGAAAAGTTTAGCCCAAAGAGCATAAAAATGATAAATAAATTAAGGTAATCTAAATTGTTTGAAAGTCTTAAAAAATTGATTAAGTTTGTTTTTGCTTGAACTTAAGCCTTTACCCGGAAGGTTTTTAATTTCAATGGTTTGTTATTTTTGTGTTGATGATTTCTGTTAGTTTTTTTCATAATTTCCGGTTAGGTTTGTCGGTAAACAAAAATAGCTCCATTTTCGCTTTTATACAATTAACTATTTTCTTACGGTCCCTATAACTGATAGCATAACTGTTGATTGACCTAATAATGCGAGTTAGTGTTACTGGACGTAGTGAATACACTTGTTGATTTTTAAAAAATTCGAGAAAAAGTCTTATTGACTCTCAATGTCGTTTTTGGCGTTTTGACTTTTGATTTTTTCGAATTTCACTTCTTTCTTTCTTTCATTAACCCACGTCCGTCTCCAGGCTAAGGAACTTCCACCGGCCCAACCACAGGTCTGCGGGAGTGAGTGAGGAGGGATTCTTGGGGCAGTTAAAAAAGTGGCAACTAGTGTGGGGTGCTAGGTGACAGTCCGGGCATAGTGGGGAAACTTTGTTGTCTAGTCGGGAGAGGTATGTGTTTAAAAGCCGGCTGTAACCAGGCCGGAGTTGGGAGAGTTTACAGCGGGTAGTTCTGGGGAGAGATTTTTCTGTGGGGTCGACTTTAGGGGGCGGTATACAAATTACTTTAGATGGAGGGATTTCTGCGGGGAACTTGGTTACTAGATTTGTGTGGTTGTGTTTTTAAAATGGACTTTTGGTGGTTAAAAATGAAAGTGGAAACTTCTTCTGGGTTGTTGAAATTGATTGAAGGGTTAAGATTGGTTAAAACGGAGTCAGTATCTTCTTTAAAAGAGCTTAAAATTGATTGTCGAACTTGATGTGGGGTGTGAGTGGTAGAAATTATTTGGGTGATGGGAGCGGTATGACGAGATAAAAAATTGAGGTTGAAAGAGTGTGATGATGTGGAACATTGAGGATCTCGACCTCACTGTGCAGGTGGGCAGTGGAACTCATGAGTGTTGAGCCGGTAATAACTATGAGGGCTTGATTTTGGGTAACCTGCAGGTGGTTAATGGAAGTTTTGCTGGCGGCATGTGACCAGGCAGGGGAGGCATAATCTAAAATGGGGCGTATTAAGGCTTTGTAAGTTAAGAGGAGGGTTTCTTTTGTCTGTCCCCAAGAGGATCCTGCCAACGCTTTCAAGACACCTATCATGCGGCGGGCCTTGTCGGCGGATCTTTTACAGTGTGCAGCAAAGCATAAGGTTGGGTCAAAAGTAACCCCCAAAATTTTTGGGTTTTTGTTAAGAGGGAGTGGCTCGTTGTTTAAAAGTACACTGGGTGTTTTGTTAAAATCTTTTTTGTATGAAGAAAAAAGGGTAACTGATCCATTAGAGGACGCGAAAGATAACTTCCTGGAAGTGAAAAAATAAAAAGATGATGAAGGTAATCGTTCAACGATCGAGAAGCTGCCTCTACATCAGGGCTTTGGGAAAAGGGATAGAAATCGTCAGCGTATGATGTGAGACGAACATTATAGGGGGGTGTGGGAGCGTCATGGTCGTAAAAATTAAAAAGAGGGCGAAAGAACAGAGCCCTGGGGGAATCCACGGTGAATTTTTTTGTGAGGGATTCTTGTTTGTTAAAAAGCGTGGTGGCTTGTCGGCCGTTCAAGTAGTTACTCAGCCAACGAACATTACCTCTTGGGAGCGGTGTGTCATGAATTAGTTCCACGAGATTACGATGACACACCGTGTCAAAAGCCTTCGAGATGTCAAGCGTTACGAGAACGGTGCGGGAGGGGGGGATTTTGATTAAAACAGTCTGTGACAAAAAATTCTAGTGTGGAAAGCGCAGTAGTGGTAGAGTGGAAAGGACGAAAACCATGTTGATGTGTGGCGGTAGGGAGATACTTTGTTAAAAAAGGATGAAACCTTTCTGAAATTTTAACAGCGGGGCAGAGTAAAGAGATGGGCCTAAAAGAAGTGGATAATTTATGGTCCTTTTCGGGTTTGGGTAGGGGGATTATTTTCAAATTTTTCCACATTTGAGGGATAATATTTTCAGATAGCGACATATTAAAAAGAAGGTTAAATATTCAAGAGCTAGGGGTCCCAGGTGTTTTGAGTGAAAGTTGCAAAGGCCATCCGGACCAAGTGCTCGCGAGGGTTTGCTGTCCGCTATGGCTGCTTGTTTAGTTTGTAGGGGGGAGAAATTGGGGTTATCTAACAGGGTGAGCTTGGCTATTTTGCGTCTGGTTTTCAGGAGTAGCTTATCTGACCCATGAATCCTGGCATTTGTGAATTGTTAAATAAAAGCCTTGGCTATGTCTGTGTCTGAAGAGATTGTTTTTGATTCAAATTGAATAGGGTGCCTTCCTACCACAGGCCTGGATCTGTTTAGGGAGCGTATCACTTTCCAGAACTTTCTGGCGCCAGTGCGGTAATCACAGGTCTGGAGGAATTTACGCCATTTGTTTCTCTTGTCTTTCGCTGTCTGATTGAGGAGTTGGGAGTTCAATTGGGAAGGAGTGAAACGAGTGTGCTGTGCAGGTTCCATGGGCTGATTGTTGTGGCGACCGAGATCTCTTTCAGCACCAAGAAAGGCTGACTCTGGAGAAAGAGTCGGGGTGTAATGGCGGCGGCGGATGTGGTGGCGTGCTGCCCTCAGTACCAGATCCCGAAAGAATTTCTCCCCGGCCGTAACTGAAGAAGGAAACCTCGAGGCAAGGCTACCCGACTCAATCTCCTCGGTAAATTGCCGCCAATCAGCCCTGAGGAAGTTAATGAAAGTCTTTTTCGGAGAAAAGTGTATGATGTTTCGCTTCGAATTATTTAGTAAAAGGAAGGCTCTTGGGTAATACGCTCTTGGGTAATAAGAATGCAAATGACGTTGATGACGTTTACTTTCAAAAATAGACTTTTATTTAAAAGTTTTTTTCATCCAGTTTTCTATAATTGGGTTTGTCTTATGAAACAGTTATAATCATAATTTTTTTTTTGAAGTTGAATGAGATTTAACGTGAGTTTGTTTTTCGAAATTTAAAAAACATTCCAAGAAAGGTGTATTTTTTCATGCATGCTGACGTTGAAATAAATAAGATTTTTTTTAAATCTACTCAATTCCTTTCTGATATGCTTCCTATTGAAAAAAGAGTGAATGGAAACATTTAATGCATACATACAACATTGAGAAGGCTCGTAAACAGTCACTTTTTTTGTCATTGATCAATTTTCTGCTGGAATGAAGTAATGCATTATCTTTTCTTTTGATATAAAAATAGCCTTAAGGGTTGAAAAACTGGTGCACGAATAAACTATGTTAAGTGGTTTGTTCTATAGTAATTGTCCACCGAAATATGATTCTTTTGAGAACCTGATTGGCAAAATTAAGTATGGTATAAACATTTACACCCCCGTTAATAAGATTTGTTTTGGGTGAAATACTTAGTTTTTTATTTGTACATTTATATTAGAAGTACCTCTATTTCTGTTGAAACTGCTTTTATGCTCTCTTTCAGATAGATTGACTTAGTTTTGCTCTGAAAGTGTCTTTTTTAATTTCATCGATACATCATTCCACCATGTCTAAACCATCATCGACTGGGACATCAGAAGAGCCGACTAACAGTGGTGCTATTGTACAGCTGCTTATAGTGACTGCAATCATTGGAATCATCACAACCATCTTCAACTACTTCATGCAGAAAAGTGAGAATCGGTGGTTCCAGGGCAACAGCATTTTATAATCTGAACCTTTAAAACTTGGGCAAATTAATAAAAATGGAGTTGAGAGTCATAAGTGAACTAAATGAAGACAATTTAAATCAACGATCTTAGTTATGCACATCAGTTAACGTACCTGAAGCAGAGCAGTAGCTATATTTCTCAGTTTTTTATTCGGTTAAGCAATGATGCCTCTTTAACAGCATTTTAACAAAAGTTCTCTCTCTCAATTTGCACAATTTGATGTAGATGCAAGCTCTCGAATCGGTTTTGCTCCGACAACTCGAATCCGTTTTGAATTTCGGTCGGTTTTTTCTCGATTCAATTTTGGCTACCTCAAAGAAAACTCGTGGAGGGTCATGTGTGGTAAACGGGTCTTAATTTTTTTTAGTTTTGCAGACTAAATTTGATGATAGGCTGAACCCCCAATTATAACGTTAATTTAACGATTGTTACTGATGTTTATTGCTTTAAAAACATTTTATTTGTTTGAAATATTATACATATTTCAATTCGGTCGGAAATTTCCGTGGTAATTGTATTTTATTTGTTTTTTTTTCATGAAAAAAATCTTAATTCGATCACTTTCAAATCACTATAACATTTGCCCAAAAATTACACTGTGACGGAAAGTAGAAAAAAAACGTTTGAAGACTGGCTGACATCAGTTATTTTAGTTCCACGTGTTTGTTTACCCTCTCGACCTAGCCAGTTGATCTTTGTTGTTTAAGGGTCAACGAACGTGTTGCAACTTTAAGCCTATCAGCTGAACGAATCTTATTAGCTTTCTACTATGTTCAAATAATAAGTACATAGCTAGGTATTGGATTCTCAGACAACGTTTCCCAACTAAAATCGGGGCTAAAAACCATAATTCGAGTTATTTTTAGTGACAGTTACATACTAGATTGACCCTTTCCTCGCCCTCAACAACTCATGCTCTGATTAGATTGTCACAATGGAGTTAAATTTAATTGTTCAGGGCATTCCAGTGTTTAAAAGGGTTTCAAGAGTTAATAAAGAGTTTGTAGGCGCCGGGCTCCTTTGTAGGTGCCTTTCTGGGGATAGTTTGTAGGCTCCTTCCTGAGGAGGTATCGTCGTTATCCCAATTAAAAAATTGAGAAACAAATATAGATACTGCTTTGCTTTTGGTACGTTAACTGATGTGCATAACTAAGATCATTGATTTCAAGTGTCAATATTTAGTTCAGTTATGATTCTCAACCCGGTTTTTACAAAGTCGCCCCAATTTTCAATGGTTCAGATGATAAATTGCTGTTGCCCTGAAACCAGACATGGGTTAGACATGATAGAAATTGAAAGCGCTTGAAATTGATAAATATTTTTTTGAAAAAATTTAGAAAATATTAAGAATTTTTTTTCAGGATTGTTTATAAGTTATTATTTTTGAAGTTTTCAAATTTCATTTATTTCCGAGTTATTTTTTGTGTTTCTAATTGACTCCATTATTCTCCACGAACAAAATAAATTGCTTCTGTATCGATAGTAGTAAAAAGGGACTATGAGCTTTGACGTTATACCAATCTATATATCTGAAACTACCGTTTAATTAAGGCAAATTGCACAGCAACGTGAAAATGTGGTAAAATGATTATATAAACTTCGAGCAAAGTGTTTATATAAAGGAGGAAAGAATACAATGTTTTTTATTTTGTTTTTGCGTGCTTTTTGATCTTGTTTTCATTCGCTTACCGTATTGCGCTCAGTTTTTAGATTTTTCCCGTATATAACTTAAAGCACAGAATAGTCAAAATTAGAAATGGTAAATTTAGGTTCAGTTTTTAATTAATTCTTTTGCCTCCGGTCGTTACATTTGGTCTGGAGGTTACGAATACACCACCTCAGACGACAAAGGTCCTGGGTTGGAATCTGACAGGACCTGTTTTTTTTTTTAAACGGGAAGTATTCCGTTTCATAAAAAAATTGTCGGCTTATTATTTGTCTGCTTATCTGTTGTCGCCTTGGCATGTTTTTTTATTTGCCATCAAGTTTTTTTCCATAGATCTAGCTTAATTTTTTTCGATAGATCTAGCGTTTTCGACATTTTCAATTTTTTTTTCGGACTTTAGCGGCTTTCTTGTTTTGTATCGCAAGTGGTGCGAAGCTCAGCTTCGCCGCTGTGTAAATTGTTGTAACATCCCTGCTTTTTTCAGATTCCTTGTTCATTAACATTGTTTCAACTGTCTATCGGCTACGTTTTTATTGAAAGACTTGGAGTGTTTTAGTTCTGTAGTTGGAATCCAAATTCAATTGATGATTGTATTCAGAGAACTGAAAAACATTTCAATTGGAAAAATTTGAGTTAAAACAATTTTTTTTCAATTGAAAATCCGTGAAGAAGAAAATTGTTCGCAAAAACTTCATAAACTTTAGTGTTTGAACATCTGCATTGTTTGTCGCGATTGATGTCAATTTTCAATTTTGATATTGAAAAAATCTTTTCATTTAGAAAAAGGGAAGTCAAAACAGAAGACAGAAAGTGAGGAGGTCCTTGTTGATGGAGAAAATTTAAGCCTGGATACGAAGGCTGTTAAAACTCCACCAAAGAAATCGGCAGCCAAGAAGTCGAAATCTGCCACTGCGGCGAAAGTGGGTGTTCTGAAGTTCTCTCATCCCGATCACGCAGGCACTCTGAAGGGACATACCAGTCAGGTGAGAGTTTGGATACTTGGACATCATAAATTAAGTGAGCGGTGGCAATTGTTTTCTGCCTTTAGTTGAAGACTTATTTTTTCGAGGCTCTTATAATATCTTGTTGTTTGAAGGTGCGTTAATAACTCACAGCCTTGAAAATGGCCAAAAGTAGTTATATGTAATACTCAATAGATAGGCAAACATGAATTCTCTGCTGAAAAATGAGTAGCTCCTTTGTTGGTCCTTTACTTCACGGAGAGTATGGCCTCAATTCTGATTTGGGAGAACTCGGGTCAAAAAATACTTTAAGTTCTCAGGTAAACACATAGGTAATTCAGTTTTCTGTTCGTGCCATTAATCTTGAAGCTAAAAGTACTTAGACATGTTTTAAATAGGCTTTTAAAGATCACTGCGATGTTTGGTCATAATAGGTGGAATCCCTCATGCGCGAAGGACCGAATGCGCGAAAATATAAAAAAGAAAGTAAACATTTCCAGGCACTAGAGTATTGATATTGGCCGTATATAAAAATAGCAGAAATATGCAAAATTTTGAAACTGTCACTGACCGCCCCCGAATTGGAACAAATTTTGTATTTCAAGGGTTTCGTTATGAAAGAAGCAAAAGATAGCTTCATTTAATTCATTTTAATTGAATGGCAATTGCTTCTTTTTAAAATTGACTTTCGGCTAATTTTGTTTGCGGTCTTTAGCTCACAAGTTTTTTCGCTCATTCGGTCCTTCGCGCATGAGAATAGCCCCCTTCATAATATAGTATTTCTTTTTGTTCAGAAAATATACAGTAAAAATAGGATTTCAAAAAGGTAGTGACAAAATGGTGGGGCTTTTTGCTTGTAATTATATTGCAGACGTCTGCTGATAGAGAATATTTTTAGGCAAAGTTGTTCATTTTGCTTATTTCAGGTGACTGATATTAGCTTTAGTTCCAACGGCAAATACATGGCTTCCATCTCGGCCGACGATCGAAACGTCATCTTGTGGAGTACGAAGGAATTAGGCGCCGACGCGACTCGGAACATGGTCCGGGGAAAAGTCGATCTGGATAACCCAGTGAGCGTCGACTTTTCACCCGACTGTAAAGCTCTGGCACTCGGATTAGAACTGACTAATAGCGTGAAGATCATGAAAATAGCAAAGAAAGAAGGCACGTCAACTGTGACTTTGACGGAAGGCATGGAGTTTCCGCAGGTCCTAGATCTAGACATCTTAACATGTGCTATATCGCCTTCCGGAACGTACATAATGATTGCGGATAACAAGAACTCGGTTTATATTCTGGACTTGAAAGGAATAGTGTTGGGTAAAATTGACGCTAAAGTGGGAGGGGATATACATCATTGTGTAGTGTCGCCCTGTGGCCGTTTTGTGGCGTTTTGTGGATACAATCCTGAAATGCCGATTTATGAAGTGGAGTTTTCGAGCACTAATGTTTTCAGGGGTGAGTTGCTTTATCAGTTTTTATTTCATTCTTTCTCTTACAAAAGTAAACTATCAACGCTTAGAAATATTGATTGTCTGAAAGTGGTTGGAAGCTTAGTTAAGAACAAGGTAAGAAATACCAATAAGTTAAAGATCCAGATGAAGATGAATACGCCAGCAAATCAACATTTAGTGGATTAAAAAATTGCCCCTATGTTTGTGCTCACGAGGTTAAGAAAGAAAACTCACGTTTTATATTTTAAAAGTGTTTGTAAAAGTGGTAATTTTGAAGAGCGGTATTAAGCCCCAATTTGAATCCAGGATTTGATTCGACTCCCATTTTTAGGACTGAACCGAGTGATGATTCTCAAAGGCCATACAAACGCAATTACGTACTTCGCTTTCTCCCTCGACGCAGTTTCAGCCGCGACTGTATCACGTGACAAAACATGGCGGGTGTCCTCGATAGATGTACGATACAAAGACAAAGAGGACCCCCAATTTATAGCATCAGGCGATACTGGCTTTGACCAGGGGACAGATTTGAAGTGTTTGTTGTCGTGCAATGGAAAAATGATAGGAATCTACTCGGAAACTGAAATTAAACTGAAATCAGTTGTAACAGATGAGACGTATGTAACTTATTCGGATTTCGGAACAGGTCTTGCGATTAGGAAGTGTCTGACAGATAACAGTTCAAAGCACTTGTTGGTTTGCATTGGCAAATACATGGTGGCAATTCAGGTGAAATATCATATCATGTCTACTATAGAATGGTTGAAGCGTGAAGTTCAGAAACCCAACACAGCGTCGTTGAAAAGCAGAATTCAACAGCAATTGGATGATGAAATCAAAAAGTTAGAAGCGTGGGAAGCCAAAGAAAACCCAGAAAATGAAAAGTAATGAGCGAACTAGTTATCTTGGTTAAATGATGTAGATTATTTATCCTGATTGTTATATATAAATTTTTCCTTTACAAGGTTGCTGGGTTATATATCCATTATGGAATAAAGTTGAAGTCTCTGTGTTTTTGAAGTGTAAAAGAACGAAGTGATTTTCACTTATATAGGTCTTGTGGATTTTTTTTTGTTTTTTTTTTATCGAGGCAAGTCTTAAAATTTGTTAACGCTCTAATTTGATCTTTCTCGTTTTGAATTTTGATTTTTGTTTCGTTTTGGTTGTTCGAAGGAAGGTAAAATCCACTATCGAACAGCAGAAGTGTAAGGGTCATGAAAAAGCTGAATGACTTTCTAAAATTATAATAAATGGGCTTGAGTCTGAATCCTCAGCGGAATGAAAAATAACCTTGAGTCAAATTCTCTGAACGGGAAAGCTTCAAGAAAAAAGTGCCAATCATAAACAATTCTTGAAATTAAATTAGCTTTACTTGATATATTATTTTCTTCGAAATACGAAAATTGAAAATGGTGTAAATTTTTCCTTAATTTTTTTGGTTTCGTTGTTCTTTCCTACCACGTCACGGAAAGTTTTTAGCGAAGAATTATGTCGTAGGATCCGTTTTTTAAGCCACTTTGAGGAAGGTTCGTACATGGGAAAGAAAGGTCTATGGGTCTGATGTGGTATAATATTAAAGCCCTATTGACGTGATTGGGATTCTAAAAGCAAATGGCCTCAGTGTCAAAATATTCTATCAGTGGTCCGGAGTGTTTTTCTTTTTTGACGAGTTGCTGACTTTCCAAGTTCAATTTTACAACAATTTAACATGATTTTGACAAAAGGTAGCGCTTTTTCTTGCGTTCTTCATCTAATTCAATCGCTCCTCTACAAAAAACTTATGAGAAAGAAATTGCATATAACATTATAAGATTTTCAGTGTTTCTTTATTGTTATCCTTGAGCAAGGGTGCTGCAACTGCGTACTTGGCTTTTTTTCCACTAAAAGAACTCTGTTTTTCCACTCGGTTGTTCACAAAATTTCATGGCACGTGAAAAGATAATAGATTTTTCATCTTATTTCAAAATCAGTCAACGTTACAGCGCTTTTGGCATAGAGGTAATACACCTGCTTGAGTTGACGAAAGCTAGTGGTTCAAATTCGACTGGGAATTGTTTTTTTTTGCAAACTAGAAATTTAGAAAAGTCTTTATTTTTACCGGCTTTTTGTCTTCTTGAAGCTTAAGCTGTCTTCTAATTTTCAAAGTTTTATTTCCAAAGCCTCGTTGGTGAAGGTAATGTAGATACAAGATTTGATGCGTTATTTAATTTCATAAAATGTTTTTAGCAAAAATTGATTTTCAAAAGATTTTTTCGCTGCGTCGATTAATATGCACAGAATTATTACGCATTCGATTTTTATGCTCGAGATAAGTAAGCATTGTTAATTCGGAACTGATATGTTTCCTAGTAAATAACTTGTCCAACACAATCACTGAATTATTATCTTAAATCTGCACTTTCGTCAAGCAACAGACATATTTGGCATGTCTGCATTCAAATACCCCTTTTATTCAATATTTTTACCCTGGCAATAAGCGAGGATGTTGCAAACCGGTACTAGACTGTTGTCCTGTAAACAACTGTTCACATGATGACTGAGATTTCAGTTATCTCCAATTCTGCTTTTTCATCAACTTACACATGACTTTTATGAGCATGAGTGATTTTTATTTGATTTCCTTTATTTAAAATGTTAAATTAGCAAGTCTAGTTTTTTGTTTTCTTTTTAGTTCAGCCTAAAAAGTTTCTACTTATAATGTATCGGCTTAGAGGCCTCTTTTTAAATATTACAACAGCAGATAGCTTTTTCTTTCGAAATAATTTGAGGGAGAGGGGTTTCGTATTTTTTTTTCGTACTTTCCGTTTTTTACTAAAAACTTTTTTTCCTGCGCAACGTGTGTCTGCTCAAGAACTATCGACTTTGTTACCGCTTCATTTTTTTGTTTTGATGCTTATTTAACAATAAATTGTCTTAATTCTTGGCGCCTTTTCTTGACAAAATTATTCATGACAAAATCAAGAGTGAAAATAGTGGGAAAATTTATAAATTTTTGTTACTTGAAAACTGTTTTCTCCGGTTTTTATCTTTATTTCTATCGGTTAGCTTGTAATGCTATGAATGTATGTATGCTTCGCCTTGCCTATGTTCTTAATATTTCTTAAGGTTTAGGTAATTCAGTTCCAAGATATCCGTTTTTTTGTTTTAATTCAATTTTCGCGGTTTGAAGATTGATATCTTTTTAATTTCAGTTCATTTTATTTGTTAAAAGGAAGGCAGTCTTCACTGTCAAACAACTTAAGTTAAAAAGTCACAAAAAACGTTATCGACGCCTGGTTTCGAAAATTTTTGTTTACTCGACCTATTTTTTTTCGATTTCTCAACTAATCGGCTGAGTTGCATCCTGTTTCGTAGTTGGAGAAGGAACAATTTTTTCTCTGCGAGTGAGTCTTTGGAGAGGGTAATTAAAATTTCTTAAAGTTTTTTGAAAACGAATTTTTTAGGCTCAAAGAGTGCTTTCTCTAATACTGTCGGCAGCGTACCGCTCCATAAGTTTTTTCCTTTTTTCCGAAAAATAATTTTCTAGACAAATTGAGACCAAGTTATAGCATTTTGCTTGATCTAGCTTTTCTCGACGTTTCGGAAAAAAAAGTTAATTTCTGTCCGCCAATTTTTCATGAAATGTTTGTGCTCTATCGCAAGTGGTGCAATGCTTTGCTTTGCCTCTACATATGTTTCAAGTTTCCTATTTCAATTTGGTCCGAGGATTCTTCGCTACTCGCAAAGCAACCAGTTATCCTTTTTAGGTTATGTAAAAGTCAATCCTTGATTGTATACATGTTATTTGAATTCTCTAATGTTATTGAAAATGCATAGTGCATGGCTTCATTTTTTCTATATCTTTTTGAATTAAAGTCAGCTATGATCAGATTTTCTTTTTTCAATGAACGAGAAAAATTTTTCATGTTTTCATTGACAACCGTCATCCTTGAAGTTCATATTGTTTTTGCTATTTTCTTCAAGAAAAAATCCTAGTGTTTTTAGACTGATTGTCCGTTGAAATGATAAAATACAAAAGAAACGCCCACCAGTTGCAGAAACAGTCAAAAATCCGTTCACTTAAAAGCCTAAGATGTTGCGCTATTGTTATACGCTCAGCTTCATCTTGGTTTAGGAACTGATTAACATTTATATTGATCTCATCAGAAAAAGGGGAAAGTGATAGCCGTATTCTTTTTTTCGTTGAATTCCAATTACCAACTCGACGCTTTAGTACGATAAAATAAGGAACATATCAGCTTGATGTTTTTTATTCACACTGATTTCGGCGATTGGCATAATGTGCGCTTTTTGAAGATGATAAAATTAATCCTTACACCGTAACATAATTTTTTCATGCGTTGTGCACTATTTGGCACTCAAAAATGTTCCAAACTGGTCTGATGCAAGCTAATTGGACGACGAAAATTTCAAGTTTTTCCCGTGATATATGAGCGGTCTTGTTGTTTTGATTTTCGCAGAAAGTGAAGATCATATATCTTTGGATAGTTTTCATAATTCAGACCAATTTCAGTGACCGAGTTACTTGAGACAGTTTTTCCGAACGTTCCGGCCGATTTATTTGTGTTGTGAAAATTTTTTTATAATAATGGCAGCGTTACGCAAAATATTCATACTTCTCGAATTATTCCGCAGCCCAAAACTTCCCAATTGAATTGAGGTAAGCTAATTGGTCGTATTGGTTCCGTATACGGCTCAACATTCAACTCTGAAAGTTTGATAATGAACGTCTCTAAAATTTTACAAAAAAAACTCGGTTTATAAAAAGAAATGGAACATTCAAGGCTCTGCCCTGATACACATGCAGTTTTGTTGTTTATAGGCTCAATTGAGCACGCTAAAAAAAATTGACTCGTGATGAAAATAACCACATGAACACTTGTTTATACATACCATAGATTTTGTTGAATTTTCTCGTAATCACGCAAAAAAAAGCTTCTGGATTAAAAAACCGAAAAAAAAATTCCCTAAGTTCTATTGCAACTGAAAATGAAATTTTTTGCCTTGAGAAATTTTGTTCAGCCAATAAACAAGACTACTACGTTAGGTTTTTGGCTTTCGAACCTACGTCGAAACGGTTATTGTCAAATCAGCCTTTTCTACTGTGGTTACTTGAATTGGATATGATTCCTGGGCGGGCAAGAGTTGGAAAGGTAAAAGATACCTACTCGAGAAGAAAAAAATGTTTGAAAATTGTGTAGCTTTGGCGCAGTGTTTTTTTTAGATAAAACATCAAAAAAATTTCTTAAAACTTTGAAAAACTTTTCAGCCAATGGCGCCTAATTTGGCAATGTTTTAAGTTTTTTTTTATTTCTCTCATGACATCATCTCAAAAAGGTCACAAAATGGAAGAAAATATATTTTTTTTATTTTATTATTATGGCCACATCCTTATGAGTTTTTTGCGCAACAACTGGCAACTGTCTATGCTTGTTTTTAATTGAACTTTCGCCTTAACATTTGATATGTAATTTTATTTTGGAGCCAGGGACTAAGAAGTATAAAAATATCTTGCCGTGATATAATTATCAGTTAGGAGGCGACTAACTTAAAGAATTATCTATCTGTGCACTGATAAAGATCCATAGTGTAGCTAAAAGTTACGGCGCATTAGGAGGCCAAATTGAGCATTTTATGAATTTTGAGCGGCTTTCACAACAGGTTAAAAATAGAATTAATGTGAAATGGGCAGCATTGGTATTTTTTTGATTTTATATGCTGTTTTGGATTCCACGCACAAATAACTAAAATCGTTTTTCATCGCTGTTCAAATCGCTCCAAAAACATGTAATTTGGGGAAATCCACTACAATTTTTTTGAATCTGCAACAAATTTTGCGGAATCCGGAACAGTTTGTGGAATCCATAAGCAAATATTAACATATGTGTTTAGTAAATTTAAGCTGTCGTGACATCCGCAACTGTAAGTGGAATCCGCAAATTCTAAACTGAATCCGGAAATTTTTTTGTGGATTCCGCAATTTGTAAGCGGAATCCACAAATTTTAAG